TCACCAGAGCCTCCCTTGGCATGAGGGTGAGTAGATAATGGCTGAATTTTCATTTTTGGGTGCACTATCCCTTTAAGTGTTCCCTTTATCTTTTTGAGTAGCGTACATTTGTTACATATTTTCTGTAATGTGTGGTGTTGTGTTAATACTTACTTGGAGTTGCCCATGCTGTCCAGCACCACTTTTCCACCACGGCAGGAAGGGTAGCGGTTGTAAAAAAACTCATAAAGCATCCCATCATCCACCTCTGGAGTTAGATCTCCCACAAACAGAGAATACATCTGTCTAGAACAAGAGGTGAATACTGAGGCTAGATTTGTTTCCGGTGCAGACACAAATACATTTGTTTCAATGAAAGGAGGAATTAATGATAATTTCATTATTAAGGAGACATTTTAGAGAAATGATCAGATTTTTTTAAATGGGGTTGTATGGGGTACTCATCCATAGACATTACATTCCGAACAGTAGATGGTGGTTGGCAGGCTCTCAGTTTGGGGGAAAAAAAAAAAACACACACTAATGTCTCACATTGAAGCTAAGCAGACTACTGCTGTGGCGGGGTCTGCAAATTAAAAGTATTGTAGCCACCCTAAAAAAAAGTCCCACCAAATATCAATATCAACTAGAACTGCAAGCAGTTATGAATGGGGTCCAAGCCTCCCCGCGCAACTCGGCCTCCACGCCCTAAGGAGCCCACGATAGTTGGCCCCAAATGACGACGGGCTTGGGGTGAGCGTCAGGACACAGGCCAACGTCTGAGCTGCAGTATTCACCGTAATGGGAAGTGCACTGAAAGTACCAAAGGCTGAATGTGTTTATTGCAATAAGTCACGCCCACTTTGACCAGTCATTACCAAACTTTGCGGCTGGCCTCAGGACTGAACCCACACAATGCATCTCTCTCTCTCTGTGTCACTCTCTCTCTGTCTCATTGTGACATACGGATTACTGTTAATTTATCATGTTGATCTGTTCTGTACGTCATCTATTGCACGTCTGTCCATCCTGGAAGAGGGATCCCTCCTCAGTTGCTCTTCCCGAGGTTTCTACCGTTTTTTTCCCCCGTTAAAGGTTTTTTTTTGGGGGGAGTTTTTCCTTATCTGCTGTGAGGGTCCTAAGGACAGAGGGATGTCGTATGCTGTAAAGCCCTGTGAGGCAAACTGTGATTTGTGATATTGGGCTTTATAAATAAAATTGATTGATTGATAATGCTCACCATATTTCGTACAAATCCGATCAACTTTTACGAAGCGTCAAATTATTTTGATAACTTTAGAACAGGTCCATCTTGAGAGTTGACGTGCCACGCAGTTTGGACAAAATGTGTAAGAGGAGTTCGAAAAAGTAGGTTATGGATGTGTAGCAACTTAGCAAAGAAAATGTGCGGCGGAAGTGGGCGGGGCCTATGTCAGCAAATCCAGCTATATTTAGGGAATAAATATATATAAAATATAATATAAAGTTTATGGATATGTGATTTACAATGTGGAAGTAACAAGAAAAAACGCATTTGCATCTGTTATAGCGCCACCTAGTGGATTATCTGCGCAATTTTTTGTATGGTAGGTCTGTGTCCTATTCTACATGTACTCTATAAATTTCACAGCACTTATTACAATAGTTCAGCTGAAATAAATGTTATTTATTTTGTAACAAGCCACACCCACTTCAACCAGTCTTGACCACCTTCAACATATGGACTCAGGAATGGCCCTACATCATACCCACCAAATTTCATAAACATCGGTGTAGCTGTTTAGGAGATATGAACTTCCCATGTTTATAGCACACCCTAGTGGCCAATGTTTACAAAATTCAGTTCACACCCTCACAGTCACATACTTAGTGAGAATCTCAGGTTTGGGTTTGATAGCTTTTAATTTGACAAAGATATGGAACAGTTCGCATTTTCATAGCTAGCTACAAAAATATGTTCATCAATAATTCGCACACTTTTTGACCGGGCAATTTTTTTTTGATAAATTTATATCAGGTCCATCTTGTGAGTCTAGGTGCCAGGTGCCAGATTTTTCAGTTTTTGCCATTTTTGGTGGGGAAAAAGTTAGGCGGAAGTGGGCGAGGCCATGCACACGTGATGCAGCTCCGTTCAGGGAATCCATGGATATAAGGCTTTTAAACGTGCAACATACGGTGTGGGAGTTACATGCCAAAATGCGTTGGCCTTGGTTGTAGCGCCTCCTGTAGGTGCACATGTGTAATCTTTTGCGTCTGAGGTCCTTGCAGGGGTCTGGACCAACCCTCCCTTGCACGGTGTAGCTTGCAGCACCACTTGATTTACAGAAAAATAATAAGTATAATTAAAGCTGCAAGCAGCTGTGATCGGGCCCTCGCTCTCCTGCGCCACAGTGGGGGGGGCAAGCAGCACGCATCACTGAAGCGGTTATGTGAAAAGTCAGACTAAATTAACCCTGACGTGTTGTGACATTTCAACTTCCTACTCAATAAAATACTCCTATGGGGAGGGGTTTTAGAAAATTTCAAGGGGGCGCTTTAGAGGCATTTTGTCCCCCCCATGGGTGACAGCCCCATCAGATGTAAGAGCTCACCATTTTTGACCTGTGTATCAATTTTCATGAGGATATGAGGTCGTTGAAGCCATCAAAAAGCCAAACGTATTTCGTGGCGAGGGATCGTTAGTCGCCACGCCGCCACATGGACACCATTAGACGTAGCTTCACAGTGTTCATAAGGTAGCTTCACCAACTTGTTCTGCATGCAGCAGAAGTGGAATGAAGTTGATGCGGTCAAGTTTGTGGCATCAGTACATGTTAAAGTAAAAACTGGTCACTTCCTGTTACCACCAGGGGGCGCTATGAGTAAGGTGGGATATTAACATATTGGGGCATTCGGGGCAGAGCCATCATCATGTCCAGCAAGTTTGAAGCTGCTGAGATCAAGTATGTAGGCGGGAGAGCTGTTCGAAATTCGATGGCAAGAAAATGAAAAGTCGCCAAAATTTGTCACGCCCTTGCGGCCACGCCCCTTGACATTATGAAAAGCTTTTAATAACTTTTGATCAGCATGTTCTCAGGATGATCTGTAGCCAATTTGAAGTTGATCGGACTAAATCTCTAAGAGGAGTTCGTTCAAATTTAAGTTGTGGAAATCACCATAACGAAAAAATTCAAAACAAAATGGCCGACTTCCTTTTGGGATTTTACCATGACGTCAAGAGACTTTTTGTGCGTCTCGGAATGATGTGTGTGCACCAAATTTCATTTACCTACGACAAACTAACCCCAAGGGGAGGGGGTTTTGAAAATTTGTAGGGGCGCTATTTCGGCATTTCGCGTCAACCATGTGCAACCGCCCAAAAATATGGAATTTCGGATCCGGCCGGACGAATGTGGAAAGTTAGAAGCATTTTGAAATTTGGGAAAGGGGCGAAATTGGGACACGAAATGTCGGTATAACAATAATAATCATAATTAAAGCTGCAAGCAGCGATGAACGGGCCCTCGCACCTTCACGCAACTCGGGGGGGCTGGCAGGACGCCTTCTGACGCGCCAGTTCATTTCTGTCAAAGTTAGATACTGCATGCAGCAGTGACTTGGCATATCCTTGATACAGTGCTGGAATGACATATTTCACATTTTTTATCACTTCCTCTTTCCACTAGAGGGAGTCGGAGAGCGCACTAATTATACATCATGTTTTTGTACATCAAATATACACCACAGATTGCAACTTTCAGATAAATCAAAAGACAAGTGTTTGATGAGACCTACTTCCTATCACCACTAGGTGGGTCTATGAGTATCAGCCAATATGGTAATGATAATGTGTTCAGGGCGGGACTAATATGAATCATGTGAAGTTTGGTGGAGACAGTACCATTTATGCCAAAGCTACAGCAATTTCGTTTTTCGTGGCAAAACCTCAAGGTTCAACGCTCGGCAGCAGGCGCGCCATTCAACATTGGGCAAATCCTGTGATAACTTTTGGTCACAACCTTGTCACGCTTACATACACCAAGTTTGGAGCCAATCTGATTAAATCTGTAGGACAAGTTCGTTCATTTACAAGCCCTGGAAATGGGCAAAAATGCACAAAAGTGGCACAAGTAAATTCAAAATGGCAGACTTCCTGTTGGGTTTGGAGCATGGCTCCAAGAGGCTTTTTTGAACGTGATTGAGTGTTACAGGTGCCTACCAAGTTTCATACATGCAGGTCAAACCAGCTTTGGGGGCTGCTTAATTGAAATATTCTAGGGGGCGCTGTTGAGCCATCTTGGTGCATCAAAGCACAAAAANAACGATATAAACAATAGAGCAAAATATGAAAGGATAGACATTTTTCTCTTGTCACACAATATATATCGTCATATCGCACAGCCCTAGCGTGGTGAATGTCACGCTGCCTGTGGAAGAAAAGGCAGAGGCCCGCAGGACCGAATGGCAGGCTTTCAGAGGAGTAATCATTCATTTCTACCGTAGTTCAGGCGGACAATGGCGTTGGTCTTGGATATGTGGTTACTGTTGTCTCTCCCTGCAGTGCACGTGTCACGTGATGTAAACACGGGTAAGCAAAGCTCATGCTTTCGCTGGTCTCGCGCAAGCGCGCACACGTGAGCGCAGAGCACAGAGAAGCAATCAGAGCTACAGGCTACAGTGGGGCTAAAAACAGTTCATATGACGTTTTTCGAAACAACTTTTTATGTCAGGGCTGCAGGACACTTGGATCACTATGGATGAGCATGTTGAAGATATTTTGTGGTTTCAATTTTGTGTTCTTGGACGTTAGTCTGGGGCGCCGTCAGCCATTAGGTGTGCTAGCCACTCCCCCCGCCGATCTCCGCAAGGGATGTGAGGACTCTAAAACTTCACCAGAGCCTCCCTTGGCATGAGGGTGAGTAGATAATGGCTGAATTTTCATTTTTGGGTGCACTATCCCTTTAAGTGTTCCCTTTATCTTTTTGAGTAGCGTACATTTGTTACATATTTTCTGTAATGTGTGGTGTTGTGTTAATACTTACTTGGAGTTGCCCATGCTGTCCAGCACCACTTTTCCACCACGGCAGGAAGGGTAGCGGTTGTAAAAAAACTCATAAAGCATCCCATCATCCACCTCTGGAGTTAGATCTCCCACAAACAGAGAATACATCTGTCTAGAACAAGAGGTGAATACTGAGGCTAGATTTGTTTCCGGTGCAGACACAAATACATTTGTTTCAATGAAAGGAGGAATTAATGATAATTTCATTATTAAGGAGACATTTTAGAGAAATGATCAGATTTTTTTAAATGGGGTTGTATGGGGTACTCATCCATAGACATTACATTCCGAACAGTAGATGGTGGTTGGCAGGCTCTCAGTTTGGGGGAAAAAAAAAAAACACACACTAATGTCTCACATTGAAGCTAAGCAGACTACTGCTGTGGCGGGGTCTGCAAATTAAAAGTATTGTAGCCACCCTAAAAAAAAGTCCCACCAAATATCAATATCAACTAGAACTGCAAGCAGTTATGAATGGGGTCCAAGCCTCCCCGCGCAACTCGGCCTCCACGCCCTAAGGAGCCCACGATAGTTGGCCCCAAATGACGACGGGCTTGGGGTGAGCGTCAGGACACAGGCCAACGTCTGAGCTGCAGTATTCACCGTAATGGGAAGTGCACTGAAAGTACCAAAGGCTGAATGTGTTTATTGCAATAAGTCACGCCCACTTTGACCAGTCATTACCAAACTTTGCGGCTGGCCTCAGGACTGAACCCACACAATGCATCTCTCTCTCTCTGTGTCACTCTCTCTCTGTCTCATTGTGACATACGGATTACTGTTAATTTATCATGTTGATCTGTTCTGTACGTCATCTATTGCACGTCTGTCCATCCTGGAAGAGGGATCCCTCCTCAGTTGCTCTTCCCGAGGTTTCTACCGTTTTTTTCCCCCGTTAAAGGTTTTTTTTTGGGGGGAGTTTTTCCTTATCTGCTGTGAGGGTCCTAAGGACAGAGGGATGTCGTATGCTGTAAAGCCCTGTGAGGCAAACTGTGATTTGTGATATTGGGCTTTATAAATAAAATTGATTGATTGATAATGCTCACCATATTTCGTACAAATCCGATCAACTTTTACGAAGCGTCAAATTATTTTGATAACTTTAGAACAGGTCCATCTTGAGAGTTGACGTGCCACGCAGTTTGGACAAAATGTGTAAGAGGAGTTCGAAAAAGTAGGTTATGGATGTGTAGCAACTTAGCAAAGAAAATGTGCGGCGGAAGTGGGCGGGGCCTATGTCAGCAAATCCAGCTATATTTAGGGAATAAATATATATAAAATATAATATAAAGTTTATGGATATGTGATTTACAATGTGGAAGTAACAAGAAAAAACGCATTTGCATCTGTTATAGCGCCACCTAGTGGATTATCTGCGCAATTTTTTGTATGGTAGGTCTGTGTCCTATTCTACATGTACTCTATAAATTTCACAGCACTTATTACAATAGTTCAGCTGAAATAAATGTTATTTATTTTGTAACAAGCCACACCCACTTCAACCAGTCTTGACCACCTTCAACATATGGACTCAGGAATGGCCCTACATCATACCCACCAAATTTCATAAACATCGGTGTAGCTGTTTAGGAGATATGAACTTCCCATGTTTATAGCACCCCCTAGTGGCCAATGTTTACAAAATTCAGTTCACACCCTCACAGTCACATACTTAGTGAGAATCTCAGGTTTGGGTTTGATAGCTTTTAATTTGACAAAGATATGGAACAGTTCGCATTTTCATAGCTAGCTACAAAAATATGTTCATCAATAATTCGCACACTTTTTGACCGGGCAATTTTTTTTTGATAAATTTATATCAGGTCCATCTTGTGAGTCTAGGTGCCAGGTGCCAGATTTTTCAGTTTTTGCCATTTTTGGTGGGGAAAAAGTTAGGCGGAAGTGGGCGAGGCCATGCACACGTGATGCAGCTCCGTTCAGGGAATCCATGGATATAAGGCTTTTAAACGTGCAACATACGGTGTGGGAGTTACATGCCAAAATGCGTTGGCCTTGGTTGTAGCGCCTCCTGTAGGTGCACATGTGTAATCTTTTGCGTCTGAGGTCCTTGCAGGGGTCTGGACCAACCCTCCCTTGCACGGTGTAGCTTGCAGCACCACTTGATTTACAGAAAAATAATAAGTATAATTAAAGCTGCAAGCAGCTGTGATCGGGCCCTCGCTCTCCTGCGCCACTGTGGGGGGGGCAAGCAGCACGCATCACTGAAGCGGTTATGTGAAAAGTCAGACTAAATTAACCCTGACGTGTTGTGACATTTCAACTTCCTACTCAATAAAATACTCCTATGGGGAGGGGTTTTAGAAAATTTCAAGGGGGCGCTTTAGAGGCATTTTGTCCCCCCCATGGGTGACAGCCCCATCAGATGTAAGAGCTCACCATTTTTGACCTGTGTATCAATTTTCATGAGGATATGAGGTCGTTGAAGCCATCAAAAAGCCAAACGTATTTCGTGGCGAGGGATCGTTAGTCGCCACGCCGCCACATGGACACCATTAGACGTAGCTTCACAGTGTTCATAAGGTAGCTTCACCAACTTGTTCTGCATGCAGCAGAAGTGGAATGAAGTTGATGCGGTCAAGTTTGTGGCATCAGTACATGTTAAAGTAAAAACTGGTCACTTCCTGTTACCACCAGGGGGCGCTATGAGTAAGGTGGGATATTAACATATTGGGGCATTCGGGGCAGAGCCATCATCATGTCCAGCAAGTTTGAAGCTGCTGAGATCAAGTATGTGGGCGGGAGAGCTGTTCGAAATTCGATGGCAAGAAAATGAAAAGTCGCCAAAATTTGTCACGCCCTTGCGGCCACGCCCCTTGACATTATGAAAAGCTTTTAATAACTTTTGATCAGCATGTTCTCAGGATGATCTGTAGCCAATTTGAAGTTGATCGGACTAAATCTCTAGGAGGAGTTCGTTCAAATTTAAGTTGTGGAAATCACCATAACGAAAAAATTCAAAACAAAATGGCCGACTTCCTTTTGGGATTTTACCATGACGTCAAGAGACTTTTTGTGCGTCTCGGAATGATGTGTGTGCACCAAATTTCCTTTACCTACGACAAACTAACCCCAAGGGGAGGGGGTTTTGAAAATTTGTAGGGGCGCTATTTCGGCATTTCGCGTCAACCATGTGCAACCGCCCAAAAATATGGAATTTCGGATCCGGCCGGACGAATGTGGAAAGTTAGAAGCATTTTGAAATTTGGGAAAGGGGCGAAATTGGGACACGAAATGTCGGTATAACAATAATAATCATAATTAAAGCTGCAAGCAGCGATGAACGGGCCCTCGCACCTTCACGCAACTCGGGGGGGCTGGCAGGACGCCTTCTGACGCGCCAGTTCATTTCTGTCAAAGTTAGATACTGCATGCAGCAGTGACTTGGCATATCCTTGATACAGTGCTGGAATGACATATTTCACATTTTTTATCACTTCCTCTTTCCACTAGAGGGAGTCGGAGAGCGCACTAATTATACATCATGTTTTTGTACATCAAATATACACCACAGATTGCAACTTTCAGATAAATCAAAAGACAAGTGTTTGATGAGACCTACTTCCTATCACCACTAGGTGGGTCTATGAGTATCAGCCAATATGGTAATGATAATGTGTTCAGGGCGGGACTAATATGAATCATGTGAAGTTTGGTGGAGACAGTACCATTTATGCCAAAGCTACAGCAATTTCGTTTTTCGTGGCAAAACCTCAAGGTTCAACGCTCGGCAGCAGGCGCGCCATTCAACATTGGGCAAATCCTGTGATAACTTTTGGTCACAACCTTGTCACGCTTACATACACCAAGTTTGGAGCCAATCTGATTAAATCTGTAGGACAAGTTCGTTCATTTACAAGCCCTGGAAATGGGCAAAAATGCACAAAAGTGGCACAAGTAAATTCAAAATGGCAGACTTCCTGTTGGGTTTGGAGCATGGCTCCAAGAGGCTTTTTTGAACGTGATTGAGTGTTACAGGTGCCTACCAAGTTTCATACATGCAGGTCAAACCAGCTTTGGGGGCTGCTTAATTGAAATATTCTAGGGGGCGCTGTTGAGCCATCTTGGTGCATCAAAGCACAAAAACCAAATCAGACAACAGGACTTGGGACCTGTGATATGCATACCACGTTTGGTGAGTTTTCAAGCATCCCTGATCCCTTCAAAACAACATCGTGTTTGATGGCGAACAAGGTGGCGCCACGGTGACAGCGTTTGATGAAAACCCAAAAGCTTCATTTTTAAGTATCATCAAGGTCTAAGGACTTAGATCAGCAAGTTTGAGGTGGGTCTGATTAACCTGCTAGAAGAGGGACATCAAAGAATGTATAAAGTAGCGTTCTGTTGCCAATAGGTGGCGCTATGGCAGTGATTCAAAATTCCTCTGTAGATGTGTTCAGGGCTGGACTGTCATCATATGTGTGAAGTTTTGGCAAGATATTCCCACGTAGAGTCAAGTTACAGCAACGTTTATCATCACGGTGAAACATCAAAGTTCGCCGCCAGGCCATGGCCACGCCCTTACACGAAAACTCACAGTTTCCACAATAAAGCATCATCAACGTCTTATGACTTTTTTCACCAAGTTTGAGATGGATCTGGTCAAGTCTGTCGGAGATGTACATTAAAGTCTAAAACATGACATTTCCCATTGCCAGTAGGGGGCGCTATGTTTATCTCTAATAACTGACATGTAGATGTGTTCAGAGCGGGACTGTCATCAATCCTGTGAAGTTTGGCCAAAATTGGACCATGTATGCTGGAGTTATAAACTACTTCCTGTTTAGTGGCGAGACCCCTAACTTTGACGTCATCCCACGGTCACACGCATTGACGAAAACTCAAGCTTTTGATAACTTTTCATCTTCAAGGTCTTGGGATAGGACAGACCAAGGTTTGAAGTTGATCGGATGAAATCTCTAGGACTAGTTCGTTCACCCCTGGAAATGGCCAAAAATGCATCAAAATTGCACAGTAAATTCAAAATGGCCGACTTCCTGTTGGGTTTAGAGCATGCCTCCAAGAGGCTTTTTTGTATGTCTCTGAGCGTTACATAAGCCAGCCGAGTTTCATACATGTAGGTTAAACTGGCTTCAGGGGCTGTTTCCTCAAAGTTTTGTAGGGGGCGCTACTGAGCCATTTTTTGGAACCCACGCACGAGACCCTTGAAATATCAAATTTTTCACCAGTTCTGAGATGTGTGCAAAGTTTCATGAGTTTTCAGGTATGTTAAGCTTCCCAAAAAGGCAATTCATTTGGAGGAAGAAGAAGAATAATAAAAAATCCTTGCATTTCAATAGGGTCCTCGCACCACTAGGTGCTTGGGCCCTAATAATAAAAAATCTTTGCATTTCAATAGGGTCCTCGCACCGCTAGGTGCTCGGGCCCTAATTAAAGCTGCAAGCAGCTGTGATCGGGCCCTTGCTCCCCCATGCAATTGTGGGGGCCTGAGGCACGTGGGGGCTGTGGCGCGAAGCGAGAAGGGAGAAAAAACCTGGCAGAAACAAAAAAAAAGGCAATGTTACGTTCATCCACCAGGTGGCGCTAAGAGCGTAACCAGATGTGGTCAGGTGCGTTCAGGGGTGGACCCTCATCACACGTGAAATTTCGAGCAAATCGGACAATGCATGAAGAATTTATACCAAGTTGATGTTCCGTGGCGAACAATGAAAAGTCGCCGCCACGGCAGCCTGCAACATGACAGGACACGTGTGTCACTGTGGAGATTCATCAACTTGATCGTCATGTGGCTACAAAATGTAGTGGATCAGGTCAGGACTTGAGGTTGGTGTCTGTCAGTGTAAAAGATGGCATTTCCTGTTTCCACAAGGGGGCGCCATGAGCAAGATTGCCTACGAGCATATGGAGGCATTGAGGGCGGGGCTCTTATCATGTACAGAAATTTTGAATTTATCGGTATCGGTATGATACATGTGCGTACCTAATTTCGTTTGCCTACGACAAACTAACCCCAATAGGGAGGGGTTTTTGAAAATTTGTAGGGGGTGCTAATTTCAGTATTTCGCGTCGACCATGTGCAACCGCCCAAAAATATCAAATTTCGGATCCGGCCGGACGAATGTGGAAAGTTAGAAGCATTTTGAAATTTGGGAAAGGGGCGAAATTGGGACACGAAATGTCGGAATAATAATAATAATAAAAAGCGCAATTCCAATAGGGTCCTCCGCAGACGACTTTGTCGTCGCTCTGGCCCTAATAACAATAATAACAATAATAATAATAATAATAATAATAAACAGCGCGATTTCAATAGGGTCCGCGGACAACTTCGTTGTCACTCGGGCCCTAATAAACAGCGCGATTTCAATAGGGTCCTCCGCGGACGACTTCGTCGTCGCTTGGGCCCTAATAATAAACAGCGCCATAGGGTCCTCACGGACGACTTCGTCGTCGCTCGGGCCCTAATAAACCGCGCGATTTCAATAGGGTCCTCCGCGGACCCTAAAGCTGCAAGCAGCTGTGATCGGGCCGTCCAGCCCCCATGCAACCGCGGGGACCTGAGGCACGTGGGGGCTGTGGTACAAGGCAAGAAGGGAGAAAAAACCTGGCAGGAGCGCAAAAACGCAATGTTTCGTTCATCCACCAGGTGGTGCTATGAGCGTAACCAGATGTGGCCAGGTGTGTTCAGGGGTGGACCCTCATCACACATGTGAAATTTCAAGCAAATCGGACAATGCATGAAGGATTTATACCAAGTTGATATTCTGTGGCGAAAGATGAAAAGTCGCCACCGCCGCCGCGGCAGCCTGCAACATGACAGGACATGTGTGTCACTGTGGAGATTCATCAACTTGATCGTCATGTGGCCACAAAATGTAGTTGATCAGGTCAGTTTGAAGTTGGTGTTTGTCAGTGTAAAAGATGGCATTTCCTGTTTCCACAAGGGGGCGCCATGAGCAAGATTGCCTATGAGCATATGGAGGCGTTGAGGGCGGGGCTCTTATCATGTACAGAAATTTTGAAGCAGTTTTGATGAATTATGTGGGAGAGAAAAAAAACCTATGGGGAGGATTTTTTGTCAAGGGGGAGCTATAGAGGCATTTTGTCCCCCCCATGGGCGACGCCCCTATCGGATGTAAGAGCTCGCCATTCTTGACCTGTGTATCAATTTTCATGAGGAGATGAGGTCGTTGAAGCCATCAAAAAGCCAAACGTATTTAGTGGTGAGGGATCGATAGTCACCACACCGCCACATGGACACCATTAGACGTAGCTTCACAGCGTTCATAAGATAGCTTCACCAACTTGTTCTGCATGCATTAGAAGTGGAATGGTGGGATATTAACATATTGGGGCGATCACTTTTATGAAACGTGATATTTCTGGGTTTACAGCGTGCACTAGTGGCCAATTTGGGCTAATTTTGGCAGCGAGCCTCTGAACAACCGCTGGAACAAGTACGTTAAGTGTCATGTTGATATAATTTAGTCTGACAAAAATGTGCAACAATATGTATATTTTGGCTATCAAAAATTTTTTTGTCGTTAACAATTCTCACATTTTTTGACCTGTCAAAATTCTTTTGATAACTTTAGATCAGGTCCATCTTGAGAGTCGACGTGCCAAGTTTCATGCAGTTTGGACAAAATCTGTAGGAGGAGTTTGAAAAAGAAAATGTGTGGCGGAAGTGGGCGGGGCCTATGTCTGCAAATCCGGCTGTATTTAGGGAACACGGGTATATAAAGTTTATGGATATGTGATTTAAAATGTGGAAGTAGCAGGTAAAAACTCATTTGCATCTGTTATAGTGCCACCTAGTGGAGTATCTGCACAATTTTTGGTATGATAGGTCTGTGTCCTATTCTACATATACTCAATAAATTCCATAGCCCTCAGTACAATAGTTCAGCTGAAATAAATGTTTGTTGTTTATCTTGTAATAAGCCACGCCCACTTCGACCAGTCATGACCACCTTCAATATATGGCCTAAGGAATGACCCTACATCATATCCACCAAATTTCATAAAAATCGGTGTAACTGTTTAGGAGATATAAACTTCCCATGTTTATAGCGCCCCCTAGTGGCCAATGTTCACCAACTTCACTTCACACCCTCACAGTCACATGGTTACTAAGGATCTCAGGTTTGGGTTTGATAACTTTTAATTTGACAAAGATATGTAACGGAACAGTTCGCGTTTTCATAGCTAGCTACAAAAATGTGTTCATCTGGGCAAAATTCTTTTGATAACTTTAGATCAGATCCATCTTGTGAGTCTAGGTGCCAAGTTTCATGCAGTTTGGTAAAAATCTCTAGGAGGAGTTCAAAAAAGTATATTTTGCAGTTTTTGCCATTTTTGGCAGGGAAAAAGTTTGGCGGAAGTGGGCGGGGCCATGCACACATGATGCAGCTCCATTCAGGGAATCCATGGATATAAGGCTTTTAAATGTGCGACATACAGTGTGGGAGTTACATGCGAATTGCACAGACCTTGATTGTAGCGCCCCCTGCAGGTGCACATGTGTACATTTTTGCATCTGAGGTCCCAGCAGGGGTCTGGACCAACCCTCCAAATTGCACCGCCCTCCCTTGCACGGTGTAGCCTGCAGCACCACTTTTACTTACGGAAAAAATAATAATAAGATGTATAATAATAATAATAATAATAATAAAAATCTGAACAAAAACAATAGGTTTCCCAGCACCGCTGGTCCTGGGAAAAGCGTCTGCTTGCATACGCGTTTCCCAGGCCCCGCGGGCTTGGACCCCTAGTAATAAAAATCCGAACAAAAACGAAAGGGTTGCCAGCACCACTGGTCCTGGGAAACGCGTCTGCTTGCATACGCGTTCCCCAGGCCCCGCGGGCTTGGACCCTTAATTAAAGTGTACACTATATATATATGGACGTCTCCTGCTTCTCCATGCTGTCAGACAGCAATTTCCGACTGGAAAATGAAGCCATTGTATCATTCTCTTTTAAGCCAGACTGAGAAAAACAGTGATTTAACATTGCTGAACACAGGCAGTGCTGATCTACCACTGCCTTGATCAGTTATATTGTTTGTGTTGTGTGGCGTTTAAAAGGGTTAGTTTAGATTCATCAAAGTCACACAATAAAACAAACTAACAAACTCATCAAAGCTGCAGTAATCCAGCAGCTCGTGTTGTTCAGCAAGCTAAAATGACCATTTTTGTCAAAGGAGCCTGGTGGCTTTCACAAGAGTATAGATGGCAAACTGAAGCCATTAATGACTTCCCTGTCAGAATGGGCTGTCTGGCATTAAGGTAAAACAGTTAAAATACTTTAATATAGCATACAATTAAACTGATATTCGGCGCATTATATACAGTAGGTGTCAGTCGGCACACCCCCAGTTTGGAAAAGCAGGCTGGAGTCGCACATGGAAGCTAAGCAATGTACTGCTGTGGTTGGGGTTCAGCAGCAGATTGCAGTTTAACCACCTAAAAAAAAAAAATCACTAAGTTCCCCATACAACCCCGTTTAAAAAAATCTCAACTATCTCTTTACTGTCGTCTTTAATATCCTGCTTCTCCATTTTGACTCACCCACTGTCTTGTTTCCCAAAGGTGGCTCGGTTTAATTTGAATCTTGTGGGCTGTGAGAAAGAAACATTTTAGTCCACCATGCCATTTTCAGAATTGTCCATCAACTGAGATAAGAAAAAAAACATGGCCATTGTATGAACAATCTTTATACCGGATTGGCTCCTGGTAAGGCTTTTCCATTGATTTTGCGGAGACACCTCTCAGCTGTGGCCTCATCTGTCATCTCCACGAAACAGTAACCCAGCGCACCCCTGGGTGATGACACACTGTTTAACGTAGGAATAGAGCAACTCCAAAAAAGACAACTGCTTGTGGATTTAGTTCTTACCCTGTCATCTTGTTGCGTATGATCCGTACATTTATCACCTGCTCTCCCATGGTAGAGAAGGCCCTGGTGATAAACTTCTCATCCATGTAGGCCTCCAGCTATAGAACAGGGGAAAACAGACTGTAAGAACAGAGCTCAGGATTGGTGGTGAATGATTAATACAAGGCTGTAGTTAGGGTCCGGGCAGCTAAGCTGCCAGGACATTCTTCTTCTTCTTCTCCTTCTTCTTCTCCTTCTTCTTCTTCTTCTTCTTCTTCTTCTTCTTCTTCTTCTTCTTCTTCTTCTTCTTCTTCTTCTTCTTCGGAAATCATACTTCCCATAGATGAAAACTCACCAAACTTTGCACACAGGTCCAGTCTCATGCCAGATATCCTCAGCTGTAAACTCAAGCCAATAGTCCTGATGGTGGCGCTACAGCAAGCGTCTAAAATTCAAAACTCTGAAAATTCATAACAAATCAACCATACGTGCTACAACTTCACAACTTTCATCAAACTGTAGCCCCAATACTAAAGAAACTTTTGTACATTTAAACCTATTAAAATTATGAAGTTCATCACTCTGGTTTTTTTTTTCAAAAACTGTAAAACTTCTTAACCCTTGGGGCACCTTAAGAATGACTATACTCTCTTAACCCTAGGGACCAAAAATGGTTCCTCTCATAAAAGTGTAATAAAAATGCAATAATTTTTTTTTTCACTTTCACTGCTTCAAATCTTTTCAACAACTTCAGACCTAACCATAGAAAAAAGTTCGTAATCATTTTTGTTATATTTTTTTTTATGTTTTTATGCCCTTTTTATCATAAGAACCCTGATTTTTTCAACGTGAAAAACACAAAATATGCAATATTTTCCAAAAATGAGGTGCAGAGTGGATTATTTGGGATGAGGTTATTACAATCTTGACTAGGTCAATAATTGATAGCAACACTGATTTTGATGCATTTTTATTTTTGGAGCAATGAGAGTTTAGTTGACAAAATTAGTTATTAATTTAAGGACCCAAAGCAGTCCCTCTCATAAAAATGTAACAGAATTGCAATATATAATTTTTTTTTTTCACTTTCACTGCATCAAATCTTTTCAACAACTTCAGAACTATCCATAGATATTAAGTTTTGTATTTTTTTTAAAAAAATATTTTTTCATGTTTTTATGCCCTTTTTGTCATACGATGTCATGTGTTTTGTCATGTCCGGGTGTTTGCAATTGAAGGCATACACCACAGATTCACTGTATGGTGCATTTTGCATGCATTTGCTCCACATTTGGCGCACTGGTTCCACACCCCTCTGCACTGTGGGCACAAGACACACTGCCTGCACTTTCTGGAGGGCCCTGAGGCTCCTCCTCCTCCTTTTCCTCCTCCTGACCATTGAAGTGGCCCCAGGCTTGTAGGGCCAGGCTGGCTGCAGATGGTCCTCTGGGCAAATGGCGCTGTCTACTGGAGAGATGATACTGGGGAGATGACCAGCCAGACAAGGTTGCAAACTATTCTGCAGCTCTGCAGCTTCTTCAACTAGACTTCAAACATGCACCTGCAGCAGGAGGTGCTCTATTCATCAAGAAAAAACAGAAACACAGCCTATGTGGCCTTTGATGACTTGAATTTCACACACAAACACACACACACACACACACGCACACACACACACACACACGCACACACACACCCACACACACTATAAACCACAACTTCAAACTACAGGTGTGTAAACTAAATTTCAAAACAAATTTGGTCTCCATGATAAACAGAGCTCCCTGACAACACAACTACACACACACACACACACACACACACACACACACGTAAAAAATGAAACAAATAATTGGACAATAACTAACTCATTGTGCTTCATAAACAGACAAATCAAGCCTGACCAGCAGGTGTCATTATTGGCTGCCATTATAAAACACAAACACACACACACACACACACACACACACACACACACACTATAAATCACAACTTCAAACTACAGGTCTGTAAACTAAATTTCAAAACAAGTTTGGTCTCCATGACAAACAGAGCTACCTGACTCCCTGACAC